GGTGGCTCACACCTGTAATCCCAGCACTTTGAGAGGCCGAGGCGGACGGATCATGAGATCAGGAGATCAAGACCATCCTGGCCAACATGGTGAAACCCCATTTCTACTAAAAATGCAAAAATTAGCTGGGTGTGGTGGTGAACGCCTGTAATCCCAGTTACTTGGGAAGCTGAGGTAAGAGAATCACTTGAATCTGGGAGGTAGAGGTTACAGTGAGCCAATATTGGGCCACTGCACTCCAGCCTGAGCAATAGAGCAAGACTCCGTCTAAATATAAAACTTGTCAGTGCAAGGTTTTTTGAACTGGCTGCACCATAGGCCATACCCTAAGTCGAGCCATGGTGACCCCCTTGACCCTCACGTACACCTCTGGATGGCCTCTCAGAATTAGAAAATCTGAGGTAACTGGAAGACCACGAAAAAGGGAAGAATGATCAACCCCTGAGGTCCCTACTTAACTTGAGACATTTTTCTATTGTTCCTTATTCCCACCTCAGTTGATAAGGCAATGGGACTTTGTAACCAACCTTGGTCAACCTTGTGACTCCAGACCCTACGACCCCCTCCTAGCTTGCAAAAACCACCCTGAACTATAACTTCTGTAACTTTCCACTGCCTACTCCAAACCTATAAAACCAACTCCTACCTCACCGCCCTCTGCTGACTCTTTTCGGACTCAGCCCACACCCAGGTGAATAAACAGCCATGTTGCTCACACAAAGCCTGTTTGGGGGGGTCTTTTCATTCAGACGCACGTTTAACAGTCAGCATCTTAGTGTCCTCAAATAAATTAAGCCTAATAATCTTTCCTTGCATGAGATTCTGGGCTTGTATGCGTTTTAAAAAATGAGTGTATGTCAAGTTCAATTGCAATTATTTTATTTTATTTATTTTTTGAGATAAGGTCTTGCTCTGTCTCCCACCTCGGCCTCCTTGGTAGCTGGAACCTCATATGTACACCACCATACACCTAGCTAATTTTTTTTTTTTTAATAGAGTCAGGGCCTCCCTGTGTTGCCCAGCCTAGTCTAGAACTTCTGGGCTCAAGCAATCCTTCTGCCTCAGCCTCCCCAAGTGCTAGGATTACAGGCGTGAGCCACCATGCCTGGCCTTATTTTATTTTTCATTTATTGTAAAGGCAGGGTCTTACTATGTTGCCTACGCTGGACTCAAACTCCTGGGTTCAAGAGATCCTTCTGCCTCATCCTCCTGATTAGCTGGGACTGCAGGCACGTGTCACCACACCCAGCTAAATTGCAATGATTTTTGTTAACTATTAACTCTATATTCTCACAGGAAGAGCTTGATAATATTTTTTCATTTGTTTAAACATTTTAATTAAAGAACTAAGGACCATTTAGCTGCAGAAAATTCATACTGTTGTGCCTGATGTACTCTCATTCTTGCCCACCTATTCACTTTAATTCCATAGATAGTCTCTCATCGGAATGAACTTGAAATATAATCTATCTCACCTTCAAAAAGAGAAGCTTCTTTTTCCAGACCATAGAGCTGCTTATCTGATATTTTTTCCACCTAAAGGTCACTTAAGTTCCTCCTTAACAATAGCAAGCACTAGGCCAGGCGCGGTGGCTCACGCCTGTAATTCCAGCACTTTGGGAGGCTGAGGCAGGTGATCACCTAAGGTCAGGAGTTCAAGACCAGCCTGGCCAACATGGTGAAACCCCTCTTTACAAAAATACAAAAATTAGCCAGGCATAATGGCGGTGCCTGTAATTCCAGCTACTCTGGAGGCTGAGGCAGGAGAATCACTTGAATCCAGGAGGTGGAGTTTGCAGTGAGCCGAAATCGCACCACTGCACTCCAGCCTGGGTGGCAGAGCAAGACTTCATCTCAAAAAAAAAAAAGCAAGGACTCAGACAGTATATACTGTGTCAGTGGCTGTACCAAGTCTTTTACATATATTAATTTATGAATCCTATCATATAGACGGATTAAGTAATTCTAGCTAATGGGTGCAGAGCTTGGCTTCGAGCTCAAGTAATCTGGCACCAAATTTTGCCTCTTCTCTCTGTCGCCCAGGCTGGAGTGCAGAAGCATGATCTTGGCTCCCTGCAACCTCCACCTCCCGGGCTCAAGGGATCTTCCCACATAGCCTCCCGAGTAGCTGGGACTACAGGCGCGTGCCACCACACGGCTAATTTTTGTACTTTTTTTAGATATGGGGTTTCATCATGCTGCCCAGGCTGGCTGCAACTTTCTTGCCACTGTTCCCATTGAGAGATGAATGTATTTCCCCTCCCCTTGAATCTGGGCTGGCCCAGTTACTTGCTTTGACCAAAAGAACGTGGGGAGATTGATGTGTTAACTTTTTTTTTTTTTTTTTTTTT